TCCAAAGACTCAGTAACTGAGTTACTGTTGATTTATGGCTGAAGAGAAACGAATTGAAGAGGAACTGACCTATGCGATCCTACTAGCAGAACGGGTTCGCTCCACCGTCGACGAAGCGGACTCCTTCAAGGCCGAGTGCAACCACGTGGGCAAGCACGTCGACACCATCGTCGAGAAGCTGCGGGTACAGGTCCGCTCTGCCCAATCCTTCTACGAGCGTCCCGTTCGCCGCATAGTCACTGAGGTTTGCAATAATTTGGAGCGTGCTTTGACCCTTGTCCGCAAGTGCAAGCGCCGTAACATCTTCCACCGTGTCGTCACCATCATCAGCGCCACCGATTTTCGAAAGTTAATCAATCTCCTAGAAACTTCGGTTGGTGACATGAAATGGCTGTGCAGTATCTTGGACTCAAACAACAGTAATTCCGGGATTGTGATAACCCTTCCACCAATTGCTAGCAACGATCCGATTCTGGCTTGGGTTTGGTCCTCTATAAGTTTCATTCACATGGGGCCTTTGCCTGAAAAAATTGAAGCTGCTAATCAGCTCGCCTCGCTTGCCCATGATAATGATAGAAACAAGCAAATCATTGTGGAAGAAGGTGGCGTGCCCCCACTCCTTAGGCTTTTAAATGAGACTACTTCACCTGATGCTCAAATCGCTGCTGCCACTTCGCTTTATCACTTGTCTAATGATGAGGAGAGGGTGATGACTATCGTAAACGAAGTTGGGGTTCCCATTATTGTCAAAGTGCTTGCGGATTCTCCAATGAGGGTTCAGGCTTGGGTGGCGCGCTTGGTGGCAAGAATGGCGGAGCACAATTCGATTGCTCAGGATGATTTTGCAAGGGAGAATGCGATTCGACCGCTCGTGACTTTGTTGTCTTTTGAGACCTCCTCGGATGATCGAAAGAGTCTGGTGGGTAAGCAGAGTATTCATTCCCTTGTTCAGATTAATAAAGAAATGGAGAAAAATTCGCTATTTGATTCGAAGAATAATCACCTTTACCGCCCGTATGTGAGTTCTTTTTCGAGTTTTCATTATTCAGAGGGGAGTAGTCGGGGAGGGAATAGTCAGAGGAGGGAGAGGGAGAATGAGAGGCCTGAAGTTAAGCTTAAGTTGAAAATTAGTTGTGCAGAGGCTTTGTGGATGCTTGCAAGAGGTAGTGTGTTGAATAGTAAGAGGATTACAGAAACAAAAGGGCTTCTTTGTTTGGCCAAATTGGTTGAAACGGGAGAGGGAGAGTTGCAGTTCAATTGTTTGATGACGATAAAGGAGATAACTGCTGCAGGTGAGTCCAATGCTGACCTTAGACGTGCGGCTTTTAAGACTAATTCCCCTGCTGCCAAGGCAGTTGTCGATCAGCTCTTGAGGGTGATTAAAGAGTTGGATGATCCTAAATTGCAAGCTCCTGCCATAAGATCGATCGGTTCACTGGCTAGGACTTTCCCGGCTAGAGAGACTCGAGTCATTGGCCCTTTGGTTTCCCATCTTAGTAATAAAAGCCCAGAAGTGGCAGCAGAAGCTGCCATTGCGCTAGGGAAGTTTGCTGATCCTGAGAATTTTCTTTGTAATGCGCATGCAAAGGCAATAATCGAGTTCAATGGTTTACCGCCTTTGATGAGATTGCTGAGGGTAAATGAACGGACACAGTTGCATGGGTTGATTCTTCTCTGTTACCTTGCATTACATGCTGGTAATAATGGGGCTTTGGAACAGGCTAGGGTGTTCAATGCCCTTGAGGGAGTGGACCAGAAAATGCTTGCACAGTTTCCTGATTTGAAAGAATTGGTGTCTAAGGCAATATATCACCTCAAATTCTATCACACTGGACCGCATTCTCAAAGGCTGCTGCATGTGCCTTGAACACCAAATCTGTGAGTTAGGGCATCCCCAATTTTGTTTTGGTAGAGTTATTCAATTGTTCATAGCTGGCCCAGGTTGTTCCCTTTAAAAAACTGGGAGTACAGAAACAGAGTTGGTTCATAGAGAAAAACAGTAACACTTAATGATAATAGATTTCTCTGGAAATTGTTGGTAATTAATACAATTTGTTAATGCCTTACAACTAAATTAAATTAGTTATAGATTTACCTTGTCACGGCCCTTTTCTTAGTTGATCCCCTTTTTTTTATCAATCAATTTGATTTATTGTTCACATAAAACCTGCTGAGTTTTCTGCTGCATTGCTTCCTGGGTTTTGTTTGCGCCTTCCTTTACAGCAGGGGCTCTTCCTTCCAATCAGCATTGGATTGGCATTGGAGGAGGGGGAAAAAAAAAACTGAACTGTCGAGGCTAAAACTTTGTGTTCTTGGATCACATGAGGTAATGATTTCTTGATGTTAGTCAATTTGAAGCCTTCAATTGCTTCAGTAACCTCAGTTAGTCTCCGAGGATGAAATGGCTTGACAATAACAATTATTATCTGTTTGATTACTCCTTGTTTAGTTGGCAAGCATGCATGATGCTCTATTGAAGAGAATATTTATGTGCTAACACACATGATGTATTGGTAGCTGGAGTGAAAGCTCCTGAATGTGTTTCTGACAAGTGTGTAATATTTTGTTTTTGCCCAAGTCTCGTTGATGGAGAAATCTTTTTCATGGTTAAAAGTACCTTTTGGGGGTAAATATTTGTTATGAAAAATAGAAAATTATTTGAGAGAGAGAAAGAAAGAAAGAAAGCAACTGGTGTCGAGGAGGAAAAAGAATGAATTACTTGTACAAAGTTACAAGTCAGAGAGCCAAGTCGTACCATCTTCACTAATCATACAATTAATTTAACACCCTTTAATTTGCAGCCACATGCCCCTCGTTACAAGGCAAAACCAGACCATCACTTGTTGACTTGCTATAAATGGGTAACCCATTGGACGGAGGGCAGATACTCCTTGTCAGATACATCTTTTGATTGTCGTTTCGAACTTATCTCTTCTAGCTAGCATATCTAAGCTTATGGAATGCACATAAATAGTGCTCGTTCGTCCCCTTGGTCGTTCATTTTCTAGTCGGTCTCCCTCTCTCTCTCTATTCTCTGTGTCTCCCCCTGTGAATTCATCATATTGGGTACGTATTTTCTGACTAACTGGATATCAATGAGGTGGTTTCACCCCTCCAGATGTTCTAGTCGCTTCTTTTTTGTAATTTCTTTTTCTTTACAAGTGCAAAGGGTCATTGTATCTACGGAGAATATTAGTGGATGGACTCACACTGTATTGATTGGTTTGACTAAATACGTTGCAGAAGTGTTTATACTGAAAGTACATCGATTTAATGCTTTTTTCCCATATCGAAACCGCCCAACAACACCTAGAATGGCGACCATTTGATGTTTTTCGTCTTTTAGATTTGGAAGTGATATCCTGTTGAAAGCGATGAAGCCCGCTTCAATTTTATTTATTTTCAATTGCTGGTGCAACCTTAAAGATCAATGTCAACATCGATCTACAACAGCCATGAACATTTAACGAATATGATGTTCGAGATTATGGATTCTGGCACGTGACAATCCTTACTTTCCTAGCCAGAAGAATAAGCCAGACGAAGAATTTTACCATAGACGACCAGAGTAACTACAACAACAGCACTTTTCTAATTGGACAATCACAAATATTATATAATCTTGGTTGCACTCCACTAAGACAACACTGTTTTTCTCTAATCTACTTTGTGGTCATCACGATGACCAGTAAAATAGTGCAAACCCTATCCACCCACAACTTAGTGGCGCTGCACTCAGCAGTTTACTTAACATTAACAATGAGCACCACCATACATACATCATATATTTACAATCAGCTACAACATTCCATTCCACACTCACGTCATAGCTCTAACCTTTAAAAAAAAAATCAAAGGTGACCACTAACCAGGACTTGGTCTCATGAATAGTCATACCCGAGCACCAAAACTTTGACAGTTCAATTGATGAAAAAGCAAGCAGCCAAGATGACATTTTAACCACTCTCCAATGCATAATTGCTCTCCATGATCTCATGCCATTGTTCTCCCTCTTTGCAAAAGAAAACAGCACAAAAGTGGATGAGTGGAAGTGTGCCAAGAGAAGTCTGAGCACAGGATGAAATTCGTAGGCATAGGTGAGGATAGTGACCACAACTTTAACCACATTTGAAGTCTTGAAAAATTGAACGACCTGGGATTTTTTAAATTTAATGTTTTGCAGCCAACGAGTAATGAGATTATCCCAATCCTGCAAAACCAATCAAGCAATGTCAAATGAGAAGTTCATACTGGCACACACAAACAGAGGTGTCTTATATTGAGGTAGTAATTGTTGCAAATCTAAACAAAAAAGTGTATTTATTATTAATATTTAACTGTATTAAAACAAATCTTTGATCTATTTGATTGGAAGTACTCCAACAAATTTAGCATCCACCCCTATTTTATCACTAAGAAACAATCGTGATCTAACAATGTCATAAATTTAAGGTGCTTCCTTTATGGGCAAGGGATATATAATGAAAAATAAAAACATAATCAAGATTGAGAAGGATTCAAAAGACATTATCTAATTAATTAATCCTTATTCATGTATAGAGTGATCCTTTGGATATCATGAATAACCTTTCAACATTATCTATAGGGATAAATATTTACAATATTTAGCCAGTAATGTGTGGTTGTTGCATCGCTTATTGAAAGTAATTCCACTATTATACATGAGGATCCAAATTGAGAGGGCCCAGGAATAATAATTTGCTATCCCAAAACCTTCCCATTCTTTTTCGGGAAAGCCATACAGTCAGGTTCTCTGATTGCTTGTGAGACTCGAGAAAAAATCACGTTAGTTTATTATTCCTATTCAATTACACAATCTAGAAATGCAAATAACCATGCCTGTAATGCACTGGTCTACAGCCAAGAAATGTGTTCTTGTATTAAGAACAGAAGGATATGTGCTAGTCAAGCATGTAAGTGAATGTCCAAAGGGAAGGGAAAGACTGTTATCCAATGATTTAGGAATCCTGATGAATACCTCAGCGAGAAGAAGGCAAAGGATGCCAGTTATCAGCAAGATTCATGACACGATCACGTGAAGTTGCTGATAGTTGTTGTAAAATTACATTCTTGACATGAGCAGCTGCTGTTTCACCACCACGAGTGGCAAGTTCTAGGTAAACTACAGCTTTCAACTTCTCTCCTTCCTGCCAAAAATATCACCATAGGATCCTTAAACAAGCCAAAAAGTAATACAGAAGTACTATCTGCATAGTTCATATTTAAGTTGCAAATAAGATGCAGAAAGAAAAAGTTGGACCATAAACCCATCCCTCGTGACCTCTAAAGATGCCATGGGCTTTGACATTGGATTTTAGCTGTGTTTAGGGCAGGTTGCAAAATTATGCTTGGTTAGTTGACAACCTGTATTTGGGCAAAGCATCAGTCCTCATTCTTTTCTGAATCACACAGGTTTCACCACATGGAAAAAAAGAAGAAGAACAAGAACACCAAAAAGACGAAAGCAAGTGAAAGATCACAACTCAAAAAGATAAGTCCAAACACAATGCCAGGTGGGCACCCTTGGAAAGAAAAAGGGAACACAAAGAAGCCACGCAAGACAAACGTGTAAGCATTGTGCTCTATTGATTATGCCCTTCCCAACCACATTTGATACCCCCACCTCAATGCAACCTTTGGGAGAACAAATTAAAGTAATCTACTTCATGCACCACCTATCCTGCATATTCAATAGATATAGGTTAAATCAACAGTGACATACAGAAAAAAGTCCAAGTCCATGTTCAAATTGAGCTTTATTATGACCACGATCTGCTGCCCGCTTCATCCATTTCCTTGCTTGTCGATGACTCTGAGCCAAACCTTCCCCAACTGAGTAACACAAAGCAGCATTGTACATTGCACGCACATATCCACCCTCAGCCGCTTTTAGATACCATCTAGCCTGCATGAGAGAAAGACTCATTAGTTCGGAACTGAAGAAGCTAATCCACAAATTTGGGGTAGAAGGACAAGAAGTGAATTGCTTACAGCCCCATGTAGATTACGATCCACCCCACGACCTTGATGTAAACAAAGTGCAAGTTGGTATTGAGCACGAATATGACCAGATTTGGAAGCCTGAAACAACCATTTTACTGCTATCTTTCTTTTTGAAGGTTCTACAAAAAAGATAATAATCATAATAAGCACATGACTAATAACTCGTGACCTGAAATAACCATTTCACTACCCTTCTTTTTTTTTGGTGGGATATTTTAAAAGTGATTAAAACGTTGGCACTACCCAATCACCACATTTAAAGAAGCAAAAGAAACTACAAACTATGTTCATATCATGACTACATATAATCAGGAATCACTACATACCCTCGCAGGTGGACCAAAAGAGTCACTTGCTCCCAAAAGAATATTTGACAACTCAATTTCGCATGTTTTCCAACTATTCTACAATTTTTTTTTTTTTTTTTTTTTGTTCCCTACAGCACTTGCATTGCACAAAACATAAACATGACTGACTGCTATTTTCATTCAACTCAACGGTTACTAGTTAAACAAAAGTGGACAGTGAATAGAAAAGAAATTCAGAATTAGACACCTTGCAAGTAAGAAAGGGCAAGATTGCACTGTGCAGAGGGATCTCCAAGCTGTGCAGCCTTTTCATAAAGCGCAATTGCCTTGTCTTTGTTGCCAATTTCCCAGTAAAGAAGACCAGCATCAACCATAGCAAGGGTGGACCCACGAGCTGCACCTTTTAAAAAGGAATCGAGAGCCTTGTCCAAATTAGGGCGCACACCTCCTCGGCCATGCTTGAACCGCTTTCCCCATTTTAGGAACAACATAGCTTCCCTCAACGGCCGAAGCCCTTCGCTCCATGACTTGCACACCAACGACGCCGTTTGCAGATTAGGAAGCGTGAACGACGCCGCTATTTTGGTCAATATATCGTAGGGAAGGGTGGAAAAATCACGATCTGATGATCTTATTTGCCGAAAAGCTGCTTCTGATGACGATGACGACCAGAATTTGAAGGTGGGTTGATGGAATTGGTGTTTGATTGGAAGCGCTTTAAATCGAGAGCCGTCAGGTTGACCAGGCCAGGTTCTCTGCTTCATCTTCTTCGGTTGTTGGAGTGGAGAGTGTGAAGTGAAGTGAAGTGAAGTGGGTGATTTTTTCTGCTTTATTTGTCTTTATCCAGAATTCTTCTGTGCTCCAGGGCTGGAGGGAACGGAACACCGAGAAACGCGGTTACAGTTAGATTTGGAGTAGATACGAGGACCGTTTCATTCGCCATGACTTTCATAGCTACGTCATCAATCGAGTAGAGTCGCTGTGGCCCCATCAGAAAGTTACGTTCTCAAATATCGTCCTGAGCGTTTTTCAAATCCCTGATTTCTTTGTCACTTGCTTTTTACGTAAAGATAAATATAATTAAAGTTAAACTAGAATTAACATCAATTTTGGAAAGAATATTGTAACGCCAGAACTGGAGCGGTCAACTATGCCATATTTGTCCACAAATCACATGTACATTAAAATAATTTATAGTAATATTTTTAATTTCTATAAACTGTTTAAAACTATTCAAAATAATTTTCAATAAGTTTTTATAATTATAATTAAGTTATTTTAAAAAATGGAAAAGTATAAAATAATTTTTACTTGGGCTTAAATAAAAATTTAAGACAAAACTTGAATTATCTTTCAGATTTTAACAGTTAATATATATTTGACTCTTAAAAATAATAATTACTAAAAAACATTCACCTAACATATATTATCATGAATCATTTTTAATTTAAAATTTATTTCCAATTATAAGTGAAGTGCATGTAAGTTACTAATATGGACATGAATGAAAGGCTTATAAATCTTTTAATATTATCATTGTTTGTCTAAAGTAAGAAATAACGAAAGAAAAGAACTAAAAATATCCTATAAAAATAAATTAACAAAAGATTCCATTTAATAACCTGACTAATTTTAATATAACTTAATTATTTTTAGATTTTGATATTTTACGCTTTTTATTGGATTGTTTTTAAGTTTTGATAGTCAGAATAATTAATGGTTAGAACAAATATATATAACTCTTAAAAATAATGATTACTAAAATATATTTGGTTGACGTTATATTGTTATGAATTTTTTTTATTTTCAATTACATATGTGAGATGAATATAAATTAATAATCCAGACATGAATATTATTTTTTTTAATAAATTTTACCTATTTTAATATTATCAGTATTTGTGCAAGTAAGTAAAAAATAATGTAAATCAATAACAAAAATAACTAAGGTGAATTTTGATGCAATTTAATTATTTTTAATTCTAACACTTTATATTTTGTATTAGCTTTTATAAAACTATTTTTAGAGTTTTGATAGTTAGAATAAGATGCCAATGTAGCAGTATATAGTTTAAAAGTGATTAAGTATTTTATTTTATTTAGGATTGTATGTGTATTGAAAAAAAAAAAGTATCAATTTTTATTCTAGGATCATCCTAAAAATTAGCTTATATTTTAAAAATTAATATTTTCCTTTTTAATGATTAATAATTTCAATGCTATTGATAGTATTGTATTAAAGATATAATAATCAATTAAAAGTTTTTAAACAGTTTGTATTTTTATATAATATGAATTCTGGATTATTATGGATGAAATAGAACCTCATAAAATGGTAAGGTTTGTTTCGCAACTCAACAGGCCGAGCCCAACCATACAAAGGCCTGGGTCATTGATTGAGGCAAACTACCTAATCGACTAACCTTGTACAGAAAAACTAAGCCCAAATCAGAATTTTATTCTGGGTCGTTACATCAAACATTTAGGTTGTGGAACGTACCAAAATGATTTAGAATTGTTTTTGTTTTTTTAAAAATGTTAATTCATTGATGTACAAGTTGTAAATACTCATCCAAGAGTTGTCTCTCCTTTTATACTCTATCTTTGATTTAAGATTGTCAACAAGATAACAAAGATAGAGACAACTCTTGCGTTTTACAAATTCCCAATATCTCTTGGATGAGTATTTACATTTTTCACATCAGAAGGTTGAACCATGGTACAAGCAAATTGCCTCTTATCTAACATCAAGCCAATACCATTTGTAAATTGTAACAATTTTTGTTCGAACTATTTGATTAGTAATCGAATTTCTTTATTCCTGCTATTGGATGAGTCGATTCCATGTCGAGTCCACCTCGTTTAAAAGGTGGGGGAAATTCTGGGATCATTTCAAGGGATAATTTCTCGAAATCTATCCCTATTGTGAAGAAATTAGGAATCAATGAGAGGGACAGTCAAACCTGCTGACTTGGCTCATAGAACGCGAATAGGCTTGGTCCATATAATCAAATTAACAAACATTTTGGGCGAACTACTATTTAATTGATTTCAATCCTTTGAACAAAATAGGAATCAACGAATAACATTCAAACTTGCTGGCGGGTCTTTGTCACGACTCACGCACGAATGCAAAGTGTAGCACTTTTTGTTTGGTCATACCAAAGCCCACTAAATTTTTATGGTCAGCAAACTTACTCTTCGAAGCATCTCATTTCTGATAATACATCCCAATATTCTCGAACCCACAAACTTGCCAGAGTCATGAGGAAGTTGACAAGTGATTGTGCTCTTTACGCTATTAAATTGGGATTGTGCCCTGACAATCATGCAATTAAAATCAAAAATGCCGAAAACAAAATGTTGTCACTTCGTCTTAAGAAAAAAGAGATACTCCATACTTAAGCTTAAGATTGCGTGCTTTCCTAAAATAGCCAGAACCAAAGACAGACGGGTACTTTTACAAAAGTTAATTTGATGATTTATGTCAGGTGATAAAGAGTTGATGGCTGCAAATAACTGTACGACAGAGGAGACGACTTTTATAACCCCAAAAAGTTTGTGAAGAGGATGAGTTTATCGATTGAAAATATCCACTATTATAACCATAGTTATATGATTTTTTGAGATAAAGATGATAAATTAACTACTTGTAAGTTATTTTCTCATTCTCGATATTGTTGTCTGAGATGGGAATTAGTGGAACCAAAGGCTATTCCATACGAAAAAAAAAATATTATTTGTATGCGTCGAACACCATAGCTAATGACGTGACATGGCACATAGAACATGAGGTTAAGGATGCAAACGTAATACGTTATTGTTTTGACTCTCTTGTATAGCGAGTATTTCGATCAAACATATCTTTCTTTTATGTAAAAAAAAAAAAATTAAAATATCGGATTGAGAGTTTACATTGATAGGTTTCAATATTTTGATCAATCTGGTATGAAAAATTCTTTTTGATCGGTAATTATCATGCCTTACAATCTATGATTGTGGATTTATATGAAAGAGGAATATATGTTCTTAATCGTTATTGTGCCTGGACCAATAAATCTAAGGAATATATTGGACGTGTACTTACAACCCTTAATTTCGAGTTGCTTCAATTGTGGGAAGTTTGTGTACTTACCTACGATGTGTCTTAAAAGATAAATTTTTTATTACGAACTACAATTATATGGATTAATCAATTACTTTCTTATATATTTAATGTTGTTCGATTGGAGTACTACAGGACAATTAGCATCTTCCTACTACACGGAGAATTCGGATGCATTTAACCTTCTTAGTGAAAGAAAGACATCATAGTTTGACAATTATCGTAAGTTCTTTCCTATAGATCATCTATTTAGAAAGAGCAAGAACTCATTCATAAAAAACTCAGCCTTCTTAATGAAAGAAAGACATCATGGTTTGACAATTATCATAAGTTTCTTACCGTAGATCATCTATTTAGGAGGAATAAGAACTCATTCATAAAAAATAGAGTTGTTTTAAGCAATACTCCCTAACCTAGTATAAAGCGAGAGATTTTAGAGCACATAGATAGTAGAAGGTTGATGAAAGTCACAAAAGAAGTATCGATACAAATAACAATAGAATATCTAAAATGTGGTTAAAAATAAAGTATATTCTAGAATTTTTCTTATTGGATGACTAATATCATTCGACACAATTTAGATGTGATTTATATTAAAAAAATATCTTCGATAATATGTTTAACATAATAATAAATATGCAAGGTAAACCTAAAGACAATGCCAACTTCGGAAAAGATTCGGAATTTTTTTGTCGAAAGCCAAAACTAGCAACGAGATGAAGCCTCAAGAAAATATCCTAAAGCAAGTTTTATGTTGGACAAACAACATAAGATGGCCTTACTTGAATGGATTAAACAACTTAGGTTTCTTGATGGATATGTTTCAAACCTAGGTAGATGTGTTGATATGAAAAAACATAAATTATATAGCATGAGAAGTCATGATTGTCATTTATTTATGTAGAGATTAGTACCTATTGCATTTTGAAATCTATTATCGATAAATATTTGACAAGAACTAATTGAGTTAAGTTTATTTTTTAAGAGCTTGACTTCTACTATCATAAGGATTAGAGATATGATGTGTCTTGGGGTAGAGATACCCCTAATTTTGTGAAAATTAGAGCATTTGTTTTCACCAAGTTTCTTTGACTCCATGAAATATCTTTCGGTCCACTTGGCATATAAAGCAAGGATAGTGAGTATAGTGTAATATCGATGGATGTATCCATTTAAAAGGTAATGGTATTAATTTTGAATGTTAGCTTAAATAATTTAATAATATTATCGATAATTAACCTAATTAATGTTTTAGGCGTATTTAAAATCTTAAAAGAAATGTAAAGAATAAAGCAAAGGTTGAAAGATTAATATGTAATGCATATTTAGTGCAAGAAGCATCCTCATTATGTTTGTACTACTTTGAGTCTCGTGTGTATACTAGCCATCGGAAAGTGTCACGTAATATTGAGTGTGGTGGAGAATTGAGTGATGGCATTGAAGGGATTCTTCCTATATTCAAACCTCAAGATCGACCATTTAGTTAAGCAACAACAAGGACGTTGATAGAGAAAGAGCAAAAAATAACCCATCAATATATATTATTGAACTACGATAAAGTTAAACCTTACATTAAGTAAGTATGCAAAAACACTCTTATAATTTAATGTCAATATTTGACACTTTAATTAATAATCATTATAAAGACCCTTACTAGCA